ATATATACGTATCCTACCCCACCACACCCTCCTAGGAAATTATTAATAGAACATGGATACCTTTGGGGCAGAATTCCTATGCTTACTATAGCTCTGATAAATAACCATTATGTTCTGTTAAATAAGAAAAAAGTGTTCAATTTGATTTCTAAAATATATACAGATGTTGTATATATTTGTAAGCATAAAGAAAGGTTTAGAAGGATACATATTAGAGTGCTAACCCTAATTCAACCAAGACAGTCAGGACAGACAATAGAATAGAAAATAAAAAATGACCGATATTTTCTTAATATGTCTGTGATGTTTTACTTTTTACAAGAGAAATGTTGACATTAAAACTTTTTTAAAGTTCAATTAAAGATTTTTAAGGTGGTTTATGAAACAAAATTTATAATATAAAATTATACATACTCATGAATAAATAAGAAATAATAATATATAGAAAGATTACCTCCAGATGATGAGATTATAGGTACATTTTATTTTCTTCTTTAGTATTACCAGCATTTTATATTTTTTCTACCATAAGCAAGAAAGTAAATCAGTAAAGACACAGATAAACATGAATAGTATTAAAAATAAAAAAATTTAATTAAAAAATACATATCAACTAAGGAAGAACTATAATATCCCTACATAAAAAATATGAACATAGGAAGGAAGTGAAAATTCCACAAAGAAACACAAAGCATTAATAAACATAGAAAAGTATTCATTCGAATTGAATACAGAGTGACTGCAAATTACAAGATTCCATCTTTCTGCCTACTAAATTGTGAAATATGGTTTATGTATACAAATAAACATTGGAGAGCTAATTTATATGACTGATTGAATACACATCTCTATTCTCTTCTAAAACCACTGAAAACTAATATTAAAAGAACAAAAAAGTTATAAAACCTATGAAGCTGCAAAGTCAAGACAGCACAACAGAGAAGAGATGTTATCGAATTTTAGAAGGCTGGAAAGCAGGTGTATCAGTTGAAACTCAACTAGCCAAGTAGTAAAGTCAAAACTGAAATATCTGCTAGCTGGGGTTGAAAGATGCTATAAGCTGAAATATGTCAGAGAACTCCTGAAAGGCTCAGGGACTGGAGTAAGCAGGTAGAAATGTAGATGGTACTAAAAGCACAGCTGATTTAAAGTCTCTACAGTAGTGAAAAGCCAACGTGTCCTCCTCTATCCGTTCCATTGTATGAAGATGACTGGAGGTTTATCTCCCAGGAGAGGCTCAGAAAGAATGACCTTGAACTTGGGGGCCTGAAATACATTCAGGGCAGAAATCCATATAGTTAAAAAGGAGATTAAGTGAAAGCCTATGTAACAAGTGATGAGCCCATTTTTTTTTACTTCCCCTGGCTCCCCACATTGGCATGAAACTTAAATAATGCTTTGATCTCTTATTTTCACACCTGCAAGAGATTTATCCATAGGGAAACTGATCATCCCAAGAGAAGAAAACCTATGGATAGTAGCAAGAGTCCCCAACGTGCCTACCTGATCATGGTGAAGTCCATTAGCTGACAAGCTCTGCTCATAATATACTTAGAGCTTTTCATAGTTTTTTATTGTTTTGCTTCACAGTATAGGTGGATCATCAGACATTTGTGGAAAAAAGCAATTTGAACTTGCTGAAAATAGACACAATTCACCAGGAAGAGATAAAACTTCAAAAATTATTACAAATATTCTCAGAGATAAGAAAAAAACATTGCATATGTAAAATGAGAATGGGTTTTATTTTAAAAAATGGCCTTTCTAAGAATAAGATGTTTTCAGAAATTAAGAATTATAACGCTGGGTGCAGTAGCTCATGCCTATAATCCCAGTTCTTTGGGAGGCTGAGGTAGGTAGATCACTTGAGCCCAGGAGTTTGAGACGAGCCTGGGTAACATGGTGAAACCCTGTCTCTAAAAAAAGCACACAAAAAAATTGGTTGGGTGTAGTGGCGTACCTGCAGTCCTAACTACCTGGGAGGGTGAGTGGGGAAGATCATTGAGCCCAGGAGACCAAGGATGCAATGAGCTGTGATTTGCCGCTGAACTTGAGCCTGGGCAACAGAGTGAAACCCTGTCTCAAAAAACAAACAAACAAACAAAGAAACAGAAAATCAATATGAAATATAGGAGAGAAAAATAAGAAAATCAGAGTTTATTCTAAGAGTCAACATCTCAGTAAGATGAGTTCTTGAAAGAGACAATACATTAGCAAAGAAAATTTCTCTAAATTGAAGAAAGCTTCCCAGTTAAAAGATTCTGCATGAATGCAAAAAGGTGTAACTTATGCATATCAGCATAAACTTTTAGAATTTTAGAGAAAGGTAAGTCCTAATAGTTGTGATGGGGAATAGGTCACATAAAAAGATCAAGACTCAGACTGCAACACACTTCTTAATAGCAATACTAGAAACTAGAAGGTAATAGAATACAACCTTCAATCCTTTTTGAGGAAAACTATTAAGTCAGAATGCTATATAAAGTTAAACTAAAAATTAAACATGAAGATTGACTAAAGACATTTTTTCAGAGGTGTGACACAAAAAAATTACTGCCTCTGTACTCCTACAGTAAGCTACTGCAGAGCATGTTCTAGTAAGATGAAAGGGTATAAACCAAAAAGAGGATAGGATGCTATCTAGGAAAAAAGGAATATAAGATAGAAAAGAAAGAAAATTTCCAGGATGATAGGTAAGGAAATTTCAGATGAAATCACTAGACAAAACACCTAGATAATAATAAAGTTCATACTAGAGCAGGATTTTATGGAAGTCTCCAGGAAGGATATCTTGTAAACTGTAATTGGCAAACACTGTATATATTTATTGTATGCAAAGTGATGTTTTGATATACTGTATGTATTCATTGCAAAATGATTAAATTGAGTTGGTTAACACATCTATCATCTTACATATTTATATATTTTTGTGGTGAGAACATTTAATATCTACTCTCTTAGCAATATTTAACTATATGATACATTATTATAGCCATAGTCACCATGTTATACAACAGACCTCCAGAACATATTCATCCTTACTGAAACTTTGCAGTCTTTGAGCAGTATCTTCCTATTCCACCCCCTGCCCCTGCCTCCAACCCCGCAGGCCCTGGCGACCACTGATTCAACCTTTTTAGATTCTACGTATAAGAGAGATCACAAAGTATTTGTCTTTTTGTGCTGAATAAGGCATTTTTAAGCTCCAGAGAAAATAATTATACAAAATTAAATTTAATAATAATACATAGTTCAGCTGTGCACACAATATTTACAGTCTTATAGGTATTTTGATATAGATATATTGAGAGGACAGAGGGAAGGAAATAGCACATGTAGGGGTATGTTATATATGTAGACAGAAATATGGAGAGAGGGAGGAGACGGAAAAAGGGAGAAAGAAAGGTAAAGCGAGGGAAGATAAAACGGAGAAAAGGAGGGAGCAGATAGTTATCAGTGAGAGCTAAATCATCAACTTCCATAGCAGAAAGTCAATACTAATAACTACATGAAGTCTGTTATTCAGAAATATGGATAAAAATACTAGAAGGAACAGATAAAAGAGGAAACATCTACAACAGTCAAAACTGCTTGTTGGAAGAGGAACGTCAGCAAGATGGATGGCAGAATAGGACTTTCAAGGACTTGTCCCTGCCCCTCCCATCTCCCCCATCAGAAACATCAATTTGAATAACCATCCACCTACAAAAATACTTTTATAAGAGCTATATAAACCAGATGAGAGATTATAGCACCAGGTTTTAGCACAAAAATAAGAAGGAATGTATTGAAGAGGGTAGGAAGAACAGACTTACATTACTGGCAGTACCCTTTCCCCAAACTCTGGCAACACAGTAGACAGAGATACCCTGTATTTGGGCAGGGAAGAGAGGGAAGTGAGAACCAGACTTTGCCTCAGACGCTAACATCAGGCCCACCTCAGTAAAAGCTAGAGTTGGGCAGCCCCTCCTGGTCCCAGACTCTAGGCCAATACTACATAATGAGCATTCAGACCTGCCTCAGCACCAGGTGGGATCCTGCTATTCCAAATTCCAGCCCTGCCTCAGATTCCAGACCAGCCCAGAGCCAGGTCAGTCCACAAAACCCAAGTTTACCCCTGCCCCAGTCTAGATTGGCATCCCTGACCTCCGGTACCAGGCCTGCCCCATGCTACGTCAGTCTTTATGGTCCCACCCTGAGGCAGACCCAGGCCTGACACCACAGAACCCAGTGCTGGGCTGGCTCCACAGACCCAGGATCCAGGACCCAGTTTCAAGGCCTACTCTTTAGCTCCAGGATCCAGATTGGTTGTTGCGGACCTAGCCTCTAGGCCAGCAATCACACAAAACAATTTGGCAATGTGAATCAAGGATCGGAAAAAGATTCATATATACTTTGTACTAGTAATTCCACTTACAGGAATCTATAACAAGGAAATAGGTAGAGATAAAGTTAAAACATTTATTTAGAGAAATGTTCTTCAAGGCAAAATTTATAATAGCAAAACCCCGTATTATCCGATAACAGACTAATAGATATATATTGAGCAGAGTTGCCAAGCAATACATATTTGTCGAATGAATTAATGTTTTCACAGAGTATATAATAAGACCAGAAAATATGATACAGTGAAAAAAGTAACATAAACTTCTGTATAAGCATAATCCTTAATACTCAACATAGACTATAATACCACACCAAAAAAAAAAAAAAAAAAAAAAAAAAAAAAAAAAAAAAAAAAAAAAAAAAAAAAAAAAAAAAAAAAAAAGAAAAGAAATAGAAAAAAGCTCAAAAGATTATCTCAAAGCTGTAGGATTATGAATGATTTTTATTTTGTTTTTCATACTTTTCTATATTTTTCAAAAATTTATAACAGGAATGTACTTATTCATATGGTCACAAAACTGTATTAATCAATATAGAGTTATAAATGCATACCAAACATATTCTAAATATTTATGCCCTTAATATTCTTGTTTTCACTAAGACTTCAGGTTTACCTTGGTCCAGAGTCACTGCCATTCATATCCAGTTTGAGTTCTTGGGGTTTAGTAAGCTCTTTTTCAGCAACCACTTCTCTCGACTTAAACAGAGCCTGAGCTCTTAACCTGTAAAAATTAATTTTAAAAATTTCTAATCTTGTGAAGCCTGATAACCTGAATGATAAACTCTGGAAAACCATGCTCTTTCAGCTAGATCCCCAGAAATTATTTTCCAATTAAAACTCAGTCAAAAATAAATGAGTTAAAAATAAATGAGTAATTCTTAAATATACATAAACAAACACAAAATGATTTCATAGTAACTTAAATTTTCTTTATAGAAAAGGTAGGGAAGATTAAGTTGGTTAGAATATCATTTAAAAATTCAAAATTATAGACACTTCAATAGGAGTACTTTAAATATCTGCTGTAGAAAGTTAATTCTTCCCTCTATTCATTGTAAGCAAGTGTATTGCAATCACCAGTGTCTCAACGTGAATTCTAGTAACTCTAACACTGACCCTGACCAACATTTATAGGGGAAGCATCCACTTCTCATACTGCCATTTCAAAGAATTAGCGGCACAGCTCACTAACCAACATATTTTCCCTGAGTCAAAGATGAATTCTTCCAAAAGAACTGGAAGACACTTTATCCATCAATGCTTACTTAGCCCTACATTGACATGTACTGAGGAGGGAAAGCCATTGAAAAACTCAGCAAAAAGGTCTTCTACCGGGAGTTTGAGTGTCAGTCACTGGTATCAAATATGTGACACTTATTTTCTTGTCTTTTAAGAAATGTTCTCTGGTTATCTGTAAAAGTATATTCTTTAACTATGAAATCAAACTCTGAAGTGTAAAAATATTATTAAAACAATATTGTCATTTTCATCATTGTCAAAAGACATTCCTATAATTCCAACTAACTGGCTGGAATTAATGTACAAAGTACATGGATTAATTCCCTAAAGGAACTTACAGTTTAAGACTAATATTTGGTGGTGACACATAGGTAGGAAAATGTAGATGCAAAATGCCCAAATCAGGGAATTATGAGAAAAGTGAAAAAACAGCAGCAATAATATCAGTCACAGTAGCTTCTACAGCAGTAGAGATGATCTTGGTGACAGCAACTATGTTTAAGGAGTGCATTTTATATATACTATTGTACTGATCCTTACAACCACTCTATAACACAGTTACTTTTACCATTATCTATTTATAAATTACTAAAGTGATGGCTAAGCCAGGCACATAACTCTCTCAAGGTGACACATTTTTCACTGGTGAACACTGAATTTTATCATAGCTAGGTAGAGAGTACAAGTAATAAGGCATATTGTTAGAGTAGGAGACAAAGGTAAATATTTATAATTAGCCTTGATTTTTATTCATTATACATACACTACTTTGCTCCAAAAATGATTTAAGGTGGTTCTTGCCACAATCATGAATAATATTCTGGATAAATCTTCTCTGATCAATCTGGAAAGTGCTCACAAAGATAATACCCTTTCGAAAGCTGTTACTGACAATCATGTAGTAGCAAGGTGACAGAACGAATCATTAATTACAATTTAAGTAAATGTCAATGTCATGCCAAATTTATTCTAAAATGACAAGCTTGTCCCAAGATTCTGAACTACTGTAACAATTCTGTGCTACGCATTTGGTATTCAATTGGATTGCCTTCCCAATATTTTTCTTGAACGTTCTGAGCACTATAAACAACGGCTTGTGTACAGCAGATATTAATTCATGAGTTTAGTTGAAGTGAAATTCCCTGAGGCCAGGCGTGGTGGCTCATGCCTGTAAGTCCAGCACTTTGGGAGGCCGAGGTGGGTGGATCACCTGACAGGAGTTTGAGACCAGCCTGGCCAACATGGCGAAATCTCATTTCTACTAAAAATACAAAAATTAGCTGGGCGTGGTAGCAGGTCCCTGTAATCCCAGCCATTTGGGAGGCTGAGGCAGGAGAATCCCTTGAACCCGGGAGACAGAGGTTGCAGTGAGCCAAAATCACACCACCGCACTTCAGCCAGGGCTACAGAGTGAGACGCTGTATCCAAAAAAAAAAAAATTCCTTGGGGCAGGTAAATGACAAGCTCAGTAAAGATATATAAAAGTTAAAATTTTATATATATATATGAGATTGTGAGTAATATAGCGAGCCAAGATCAAGTCTTGCGTCTTTTAATATCCCTCACATAGAGTTTTGTGCAGAGTAGAGGGCTTAGTAAATATGTGCTCAGACAAGAAGAATGAAACTCAATTACAGAACACCATTACACATTAAACAATAAGGTGCTAATTTTGGACATATTCAATAACAAATTATTAGTTATGTGAAAAAGAAACCAGACCTAGAAATTTTAAGTAGTGGGATTTTGACTGTGTTATAATGAAAAGTCAGGGTGTGGATAAATGGAAAAGTAGGACAGAGATATTTAAATCAGAGGAAAACGTAGAGCTTGAGAAAGAAACATGAATGATATACTGAAAAGATCTCAAGGAAACAAATCTGCCTTTTGGAAAAAAAACTTTATTTCTCAGGAAAAGTGGGACAAATGGGTAGAGAGGTAGTTCCAAATTATAAAAGGCTTCAAATTCTAGGTTGAATAAACATAACCTAATACAAAATTATCAGGGGTTTTTAAAATTCAGAAGTGGCACAATAAAAGCAATGTCTTAGGAGGATTCATTTGAAATAGATATTCTTGTTATATGATACTAATGTGCAGAAGGTTGAATTTCAGATAACCCAAAAGTGATAAAATTACATAAACCTAAAAAGTAGGCCAGAGAGTAGGGCAACTTTCAGCCTAGAAATATAAATTGTGATACCGATTAATTAAATGCATAGATTTATGGTCCTAGTTCTGGGTTGCACAGCTAACTATGATAAAACATGGTGGCAGTAAGCAGGAGAACTAGAGGTGAAAGCTGTTCAATTAAAAATGTCTTGGCGGGGTGCAGTGGCTCATGCCTGTAATCCCAGCACTTTGGGAGGCTGAGGTGGGCGGATCACTTGAGGTCAGGAGTTTGAGACCAGCCT